TATATATATATATATATATAATATATATATATATATATATATATATGTATATATATATGTATATATATATATATATATATATGTATATATATATATATATATATATATATATATATATGTATATGTATATATATATATATATATATATATATATATATATATATATATATATATATATATATATATATATATATTATATATATATATAATATATATATATATATAATATATATATATATATATATATATATATATATATATATTATATATTATATATATATATATATATTATATATATATATTATATGTATATATATATGTATATGTATACAACATGTATATGTATACATGTATATGTATAACATGTATATGTACTACATGTTTATGTATACTACATGTATGTATACTTTATGTAAACTGTATATGTTTACAATATGTTTATCATATATAGATTATATATGTTATGTATGTATATATACATGTTATGTATATATATATATATATATATATATATATATATATATATATATATATATATATATATATATATATATGTATATGTATATGTATATATATATCAATATGCATATATACATACATATTTAAAATATAGCATAATTTTGAAACATTTCCCTAAAAATATGGCACTAAACGTATCTTACAAAAATACAAAAATTTCTGCTTAAACAAATGAATCAAATGAAAAACCTCCTATAATAACATGACAAGAGTAAGAGAAAAATTAATAAACATTAAATAGCTGAGGAGTGTTGCATTACAGCCTTTCAAATGAACTGAAATTAAAGCTTTAGTTTGAGATATCATGTGCATGAGAATAAATGGGTGTAAGCCACAAGTTTCTAGCTAAAAAAGGAAGAAAATTCTGCCTGAGAAAAGAAGTCATGTAACTAGCATGGTCTCTGTCCCTTTGGCACTTCAGCAAAAGCCAATTAACCTCCATCACATCTAGTCAGCAAGATATCACTCTGGAATTGGTGATTCCTGTCTGCCAGAGATGTATGTCAAAACCAGTTTTGATATAAGCCAAGTCAGTTTTTCAAGTACTGAATACCTATAGTAAAAAATACGCCAGTGACATTAATGACTTGAAATAAACGCCAGTGTACATACTCTTGAAAGAGCAGTCCAGCCAAAATCTTTGGCCGAAAGGGCCTTAATTCCAAATTGGGCAAAATAGAACCTGGACTAACTTCTTGTTAAATAGTTTGAGAGAAAATCAAGGTTGTTCTGTAAGCTCAATCTTGCTAATGCATGTTGGATATCTATTGTCCTTTTAACTGAATGGTTCAAGTACAGAAGCCATGGCATGTGCTTGAGTCACATCTTGTCTATCTTTGATATTCAATTATTGGGTTATCTTAACTCTGGGGGATTATTTCCTAAAGTTAACTGTGTTCTTCAATAGTACGATTTTTATCTTTATCTATCTCTGTCTAGAGATCCTTTGGTAAATTCATTTTGGGCTCTGAGACACTTGCTTGTCCAAAAACCTCATAAGTTTTAAGTTATGATGGAAGTATATAGAAGATAAGTCTCTTAGAATCCCTCGCCGTTTCGTTTGCATATATCATTTTTCATCCAAAAGAAGACTGGCAGAAAATTGACCTGTAACAATCCCTTCATCGAGGTACCAATTCATCATACTTTTTACACCCAAAGCCTGACTGTCAATTAAGAAAAGCATTAATAATTATCATTAGAATATATTGGTTCTACTTCTCCATGATCACTATATGCACTATCCTCTGAAAATAAATATGACATATAACGTAACTAACTGACACATAACTGTCATTGCTCATCAATCATCTCCCTTTTCATCTGTATTCAATTTCACTGATAAAGTAACCACAGTATCAATAAAGATCCTACAATCACACGATAAATGCCGCAAATAAAGAATTGCTTTTTCAAATTATGGCTAGTCTTCGGTCTCAAATAGCATGAATAACCTTTGTTTTTACCAAAATCGCTTGCCACTGTCAAGAACTTTATAAACAGAACCTGTATGATAGATTCCATGTCTATCTAGAGGCCATAATAACATGAAATAACTCACTCATAAGCGAGTGTGATAGAACGAGTATCCTTTCCTTGTTTACACTCAAGGCAAACTAGGAGGCATGTCTCTGTCGTTGGTTACACCTGTTGGCTCGGTTTCCCTTTCCGCTTAATTTTCGAATTCAATAGCTTTGTTAGTTCTAGATTTTTTAAAGTAATGATTTTGTAAGCTTTGTGAACTGGAGAATTCTATGGGCTTTGAATGTGAGTATACATATGAAATGATTAATGTAAGATGCATTTGTTAGGAAATAATTAAAAAATACAGAAAGAAAATTTACCATCGCTCTTTGAACAGATAAATTCAATTTTAGAAACAACGGAATCAACCTGATTCAATTTCTTTACTAAATATTATCAATTATTATTTAAAAAATTGCCTCGTCCTCGCACCTCGTTTTCTGTGGCAATGCGTGGTGCCTCCTGCGAGTGCCACGTCGAGTTACCACAGTTGCCAACGGAGGGCACAAAGGGGGGTGGGGAGGGCCACTGCCTCTTCCCGCCATGTGTACAATGCTACACCTGTAGACACTGTCAAGCGAGACACTAGATTAATAGGACATTTATTTTCCTATTTGAATGGGCGTGACTGGATTACAGCCATAAATGTTTATCATAAAGACGCTTTTGGATGTTTCATGCTGGAGGTGACATCATATTTTCATATCGCGGTCTGCACCCAATAAAAGATAGCGTTCCAATATCTGCGCGTACAAGTGTTTGGTGAACATCTGTGCCCATTGTTCTTCATCCTGTATACGTGTTTATGCATGTGTTCGACTATATTTTAGATGCCAGACTGATGATCAATAACAGAATATCACGCTATTTTATTATTTAGTAGACATAAATGCATACACAATTGGACTCACATATGTAGCTAAATATAGGTAATATGAAATATAAGATGGAATATATATATATATATATATATATATATATATATATATATATATATATATATATATATATATATATATTTTACTTTGCTATTAAATATATCTAATAATTCTGCGTGATCTTCATCTAGAATTTGAATTTCGTTTTTTTTATTAATCGGTAGAAGATTTGCTGATGTAAAGAAACTGGGACTCACTATCGGGAAAGATAAATACAGAAAGAAAGCAACCAATTAAAAATAAACGGGCAAAATGAAGGAACAGGAAATGAAGAGATAAGATGTGAATGGTAGACAATAGTCTCCCTTAGCACCATCTGCCACACGTTTTCTGTAACCGACATGAAAGTAGGCATGGCAAATTCTGAACTTATTTACTCTTTTCAATAACCTTTTAACTACTTTCACTGAAAATGACTCATTTAGTCTGTGAAGAGTGGTTTGTGATACGAAAATATAATATATGTTACCATTAAAACCATAATTACTGGCGTGCAAGATAAAGATAGTGATAATGATAATGATGATAATAATAATAATAATTGCTATGATAATAACAATAATTATGATAATGCTAACAATGATATGATAATGATATCAACAACAACAAAAAAAATAATGGTAATGAGCAAAAAAAAAAAAAAAAAAAAAAAAAAAAAAAAAAGATAATGATGACAATTATATGATAATGATAACAATAATAATAACAACAATAATAATAATAATAACGTTTATAGTAACAAAAATATTAAAATATTAATCTTCATAATATTAATGCTATTGATAAAATAATAATAATAACAATAGTAACAACCATAATAATAACAACAATAATATAATGATAATAATGTTGTTACAAAAATACTAGAAAGCACAAAAGATATAACTAAACATATTCAAAAGATAACTGGTAAAAGAATAGATACTAAAATGATTACAAATTTGTTTTAACTACTTACCTGTCTTGGGTCCCTTCAGATCCGACAGTGACATCTATTGCACTGTTACAAGGCACACAATGATCGTACATATCTACAAAAGCTGCATGTATATGTGTATATATACATATACATGTGTGTGATTATAATATATATATATATATATATATATATATATATATATATATATATATATACATATATATATATATATATATATATATATATATATATATATATATATATATATATATATATATATATATATTATATATATATATATATATATATATATATATATATATATATATAATATATATATATATATATTATATATATATATATATATATATATAATATATATATAATATATATATATATATATATATTATAATATATATATATATATATATATTATATATATATATATATATATATATATAATATATATATATATATATATATATATTATATATATATATATATATATATATAGTATATATATATATATATATATATATATATATATATATATATATATATATATATATTATATATATATATATATATATATATATATATATATACATATATGCATATAATATATATGATATATATATATATATATATATATATATATATGCATATATATATATATATATATATATATATATATATATATATATTATATATATATATATATATATATATATATATATATATATATATATATATATATATATATATATTCATATGCATGCACACACACGCATGGAAAACATTAAGGGACTTGTTAACTTACTATATGAGAGTGAAATTATAACAAGGTAAAAATATACCTTTATAAATAAGCAATACATTGACATATATAGCACCATCACATTTGTTTTAAATGTTAAAATTCAAATGTTTTATCCCATGTCAACTATACCTGTAAGCAAAGGCACTGTGTTTCAGCTATATTATCCTCAGACACTAATTCATCCATTCCATCATTTTTCTTTATATTAACTTCCATTTATTCCTGGACATCATACTTTCGACCTATAATCTAATGTTTTGGTAATAATAAAATTCACAAATACGTAGATATAAAATTTATATTTCCAATATATACATTTGTATATATATTCATATAGAGCTATGTTCATGATCTACACTAATCTTGTAAAGATTTTACATAATAGCATTTCTCTAGCTTTTAAAAAACTAAAGTGTATTCTACCTAATAAGTCACCTATTTTGCCACAGTATACTGTAGTGGAATACACCAAATACTCCTATGAATGTGATTCATATTCTGCTGTCTCTACACATAACTTTAGAAGTATAAAAAAAATATACATACAAAAAACTGAGAGAACTAGAAGTCTGTCCATTACGTCCTCTAAAATCTAATTGCACTATGTACAAAAACATAGACAAATATAATAATGATAATAAAAAAATGGTATGGAATACAATGGCAGTAAACAATTATAGCACATCTATAATATAGACTATAGCTATTGTAAGAATTGCACTAGTCATGCTCTGCTTTTCTGTGTTTCTTTAAGGATGAGCTTTTCCAAAACATGGACCCACAATCAGGACATTCACGAGGCTTTTTGCCAACGTGTGACTTTTTATGGGCCCACAAATAAGAACGTGCCCTAAAGGCTGCACTGCACTTGTCACACTTAAAAGGCCTTTCTCCAGTGTGTTTCCGTTTGTGAACAATAAGAGTTTGCTTCTGAGTGAAAGTGGCATCACACTCATCACATTTTAAGAGCCCCTCCCCTGTATGGATTTTCTCATGATTGCTGTACTGAAATTTGTAAGTGAAACTCTTGTCACAGTAGGTACACTGGTATGGTTTTTCTCCAGTATGGATACGCTTGTGGATCGTATACTGGCTGTTAGTTCTAAACTTCTTATCACAGAATTCACACTGGATGTTTTTTGAGCACTGATTATTTTGCACGTGATTTTTCAAAGCGGCCCTATTTGTAAACCTTGTCCCACATGCTGTGCAGGGATATGGCTTTCCAATGGCATTCATATGTAGTATTCTGTGTGTTATCAGAGCTTTCTTGTCTGTAAACTTTTTCTGACACACCTCACAATGGTAAAACTCTCCATCAAAGTGAATTGTCATATGGTTCTCCCAATTTGTTTTAGAGGTTAGCTGTTTTCCACAAATTGTGCATTCAAACACACCCTTTTCCTCACCCTCCTTTTTACCCCTATCCTCACTCTTAATGGAAATGAGACCTTCAATTGGATTGTAGATTTTTACAAAAGGTTCATCCTTACAGGTTCTTCTGTACACATCAACTCCACGGTAGCGAAAGAGATCTGTGATGAGAGTTGTTTGGAAAATATAAGGCAACATGCCTTTCTTGCGACGAGATGATTTCTTACTCTTCTTACTAGACTTGCTTCTGCTGTCACTCTCTTTGCTGTCCACATGATCACTGGTCTCCAAGGCACAGTCTGGCTCCAAGAACATATCACATTCTACACTGACGAACTCCATGGCATTGGGCATTTCATCCTTCTCATCAAGGCTAATATCTTGAGAATCCTGGGAATCCATGTCTCTTGTGTCGGACTGATCTTCTTCACCGGAAGTCACAGACCCATTACTTAACCAATGACTATTGTTGTTGTTCCTTTGGGACAATTGGATACTCTCCATTGCAAAGCATTATTTTAGTCTGTAAAAAAGAAACACAATATTAACTTTCAGAACAGAACATTCAGAGCAACCCTAGTAATGCAAAAAAGATAAACAACACAATCAATCATAAATGCTGATATAATTTTACTTTATATAGAACTGTAGGTGAGATAATGGTGATAATGATGATACAAAAATGCTGAAATGCAAAACGATTCAAAATGTATATAAAATGAATGCAGGACGCAGTAAAAACCTCAATCTTACTGTCATCCCTCTTGCTTTCAGCTGACAATTTGTTTAACTTTTATATATTTTCTTTTCATCTATTAGCATTAGGACATCTCTATGGACATGCAGCTGACAAAAAAAACAATCAGGCTAGTTCATCTTATCCCCACATCAAAACTTCTTCCCCCTTACCTCATCTCTATGTTCCTCCCTGCTGCCAGCTCAAACATCACCACCAATACAATGACTACAAAATTGAAATCTTAAAAGACGCAACTTGGCACATGTTCAAAGACAACATTGGCCACAGGGAGATGATAGTCCCCTGCTTAATCCATTACTAGAGATATATTTTCTTGTCAAGGAGTGTATGAAAAGCATTTCATACAGTCCTGGTCTACTCTTTAATTGACAAGAATATGTAAAAAATCTACGTGACTATATGTATATATATGCAGAAGTCTTCGTGAGTTTATGTGTATATATGCACAAGTCTATGTATGTATATGTATATATATATGCATGTCTATGTGTGTATACATATATATATATATATAATATATATATATATTATATATTATATATATATATATATATATATGAATATGTTTATGTATGTCTTTATATATGTAAATTTATGCCTGTGTATGTATGTGTAAGCATATGTATTTGTATGTATATGCAAGTGGTTCATAACCTTTACTGTTTAGAGGAATACTAAAAATAATCTACAACTTGCAACACACTCTCTTAACACTGATAGTATTTACATACAAATGTATTAAAATATCTAAATAAACTCTTGAAAATGTACAAACTACTGTAAATCACTACATAAAACTATTTATTTACTTGAAAACTTGATTGACAAAGCTATTATAAAATAGGTAAGATGGTAAAGATCATGCCTTACTTTTCTTATCAATATCATTATCTTTAATATCAATACTAAAGTATATTTTCATCTATTAGGTCATGTTTTCAACCAGAAATGGTTAACATTTTCCTAGTTTTAGACTTGAAACATATCAAATTAAGAGGCAGGATATACATTCACAAAATACTATGTGGAGGGGAGTCACAGCGTAGAGGATGAGAACCATAGGTGTATGTGTATGTGTATGTATGTGTGCGTGTGTATATGTGTGTATGTGTGTGTGTGTGTGTGTATGTGTGTGGGTGTGGGTGTGGGTGTGGTGTGGGTGTGGGTATGGTGTGTGTATGTGTGTGTGTGTGTGTGTGTGTGTGTGTGTGTGTGTGTGTGGTGTGTGTGTGTGTGTGTGTGTGTGTGTGTGTGTGTGTGTCATATATATGTATGTGCATGTGTGTATGCATGCTTGTGGGTGTGCGCGTTTTTGTGGGTGGGCGTGTTTGTGGTGCGCGTGTTTGTGGGTGGGCGTCTGTGGGTGCGTGTGTTTGTGGGTGGGCGTGTTTGTGTTTTTGCATGTGTGTGTGTGCATGTGGTGTGTGCTGTGGGCATATGTGCAGGGGAGTGTGTGCAGGTGTGGAGTGTGTGCAGGTGGGTGTGTACATTTATACAAACTGATATGCAATAAAATACGCATTAATTTGACAATGTCAAGAGGAGTACCTTCCCCTTTTCTCTCTCTTTCTTTTCTACAATCATATTTCTCACTACATGTCCTCTGCAACCATGTTAAAAATAACTCAATTGGACATTGAGTGACTTCAACCCATTAATGGAATCTATTCTATGTTCTTGAACAATTTTTAGGTATTATTTAGATAAATGCTTTAAGTACTTAGTTATGTCTATATTTCTTGACTTCCTTGCACTAACTGAATGGGGTGTAAGAAAGGCTGGTTAAAACTAAATGAAGCCAGCTTGACCACCCAGTCTGAAGAATGAATGGTCTATGAACCTGGTGCTGATGATCTCTGATATGTTGAAGGCCTTTTCGCTAAATTGCTTCTTCAGGGTACAAAAAAGCATTATAGCATAAAGCCTTTGATACATTCATACGTCTTTGTGTCAGAAAAAAAATTATCTCTTTTTCTTCCCTTTGTTCTATTTGCAATTATAGTGGTAAGTTTGTTATCCAGAAAATAGGTGTGTGCTTATCGGTTTATAAAGGCTAACAACCCCAGGGCTATGTGTTGTGTCAGGTTATGTTGTGATATGTCTGTTTTAGCTCAATTTCTTTTTTAATTTTACTGTATAACTTCAATTGCCTCTCACGGATCATCAAAGATTAAAATGTTAAATTTTTATTAATCAGCACTAATATGTACGTCACTTTCATCTCAGAAGACAACTAACATGATGCACACCAACAGTTTACCTTAATATTTATCGCTAAACTAAAAAAAATCTAAGAATACCTATTAACATTTCTCCAAAGCCACAAGAATGAATATTGTTCAAGGTAGACAATGTTAAACGTCACCTTGACCTTGAAATTAATTGTACATCAAACTCTCCATAACAGAACTTGACAAAATACAATTAATTAATAATTGAAGGCCTATGTTGAATTAAATCATTGAATGTATCATAACAAGCCAGAAAAAGCTTGTAATTTCCTCGACAAAATGAAAATAAATCAAAGGTTTTTACCTATGCGAACAGACGCCAGATGTCAACTTGGAGTATAGTTCCAGGTGTCAAAACGTATTTGGTATTTTGGCATTATTTAATCTTATAATCATATTTCGTAAAGAATGTAGTCAGGAATAATAAAAATAGATTGAAAATTACGAAGTATATACAAATAACTCTTCGAAAGACACTGGTGATTAAATATATCTAAAATAATACTTTATGTAATACGGAATTATCATCGTATCTGATCATTCATTACTACTAAGATTTATTATAATGAATATTAATGAACGTTACTATTCAGTATGTTAACGCTATTAGATCTATAACACATTTTTTAGGTTAAAGTATTCACTCAAACCTTTAACCTCCTTGTATTCCGCAACAAGAAAAGTAACTTTTTTCCTTCGTGAAACAAAACGTGAACTTTGACATTACAGTGGCATGGGTACGTTCAATACTGTACCCAGTATTATCCTAAATTGGGTACCGTAATCTTCGAAAATCTAAGGCAGCTTCTATCACAATCTACAAAATACCATTACAATATGACTGATGACCCAAGCTGGTCCTTTCCAGCAATATAAAAAGTTCTGATATATTAATAATATTATCATAGTTATTGTTTCTAATCATCATGCCAATGGCGGAAGACTGTATTAGTAATGAATATCAATCATACTGATCAGTATATTCATTGCAATAATTATGCATTATTATCATTCTCTTTGCCCTTGTAAGTGTCATTATCACTATTATTATAATAAATTCTATTGTTATTGCTGCTATCATTTGTTATTATTCCCCTTCTCATTATTATCAGCAGCATTATATTATCATTATTATCAAATTCAACATCATTACCCCTTTTCATAGCTATAGTATCATTATACCAGCGTTATAATTATCATTTATAATATCAATACTATTTTCATTATTGTTTCTACTATCATCACACTTTTCATCATTCTATCACTATTTTTATTTGATATATGATACTACTGATTATTAATTTTTATCATCATCATCCTTTTTGTTATTACGTTCATTGCCATGATTATCTTTAAATCTTATCTTATCATTACTGTCACTGTTATTCTTATTATCTTGGTTACTCTCATTTTTACTATTGTTACTTTATTTTATCATCAGTCTTATTATGGCTATGTTCACCTTTGTCATTTAGATTATTAATAACCTCGATTCACATAATTAGTTTTGGTATATTCATTAATGTTATCAATATTTTTATCAGAAGTGACTCTTTTTGTTATTTTCAGCAATATCTTCATCACTATTACTACTGATATACTTTTTAGTGTAAGTTTCATTATCTATATCATGATTGCCGTAATCAGTTTGCTACTTTCATAATTATGATTATCTATGTTGCTCTGCTCTCATTATCGCTATCATCACCACTATTACTATACTTATCGTTAATAACTGTTTTTCATGGCTATCTGTGGTGTTAATAATGTCGTTATCTTTTACAGTTTACAATATAATGTACTTGACCCTTTTTCATTTAGTGGTGATAAGTAAATTATATTGTGGAATAACATGTATTGTGCAATGATGAGGACAGATGTGTGACAAGACATAATTATATAAGAATGATTGATTTACATTAGTATATATAATAAACCGTTACTCTTGTAATTATAATTTATTTATTTGTGTATTGAAAAAAATCTGCCACGTCAACATCAAAAGTCATTGGCGGCGTGTTTAAAATATATAGCGATAGGCTAAGAATAGGTCACAAACAATAATAAAATACTGCGGCGAAAAAAGGTTTTAAAAAGCAAGTTTACGATTATGATAAGATATATTAGATGTAAAAGGTTGTAAAGCGCTGTAGGTTAGCATGGAGAGCTAACGGACGGAAACAACACCACCCTCTCATCCGGGTCTCATACCCTAGGAAGTGAACAGAAGAAGAGTATGAAGAAAATGAAAATGAAAGGGGGAAAAGAAAAGACCATGCTCGATTAATTGAGACGAGGTCTGAGGTTTCTCAGTCTCCCCCCCCACCCCCCCCACCCATGACAACAACAAGCAAGGTTCTGGGGGGACAGTGTGACAATGTCTTAGGTCTTTTTTTAAGCCTTGGTGCTCAAATTCTTGGTCAGTCTTATTACTTTTCTATAGCGTGCAGTTCATTCCTGTTACACTGAGATATTCCGAGTATTTTTATTTATCATTATCACCACATATTCCTTTCCAGTCTTTCTACCCTTATAACGTGCAGATTATTTCTCTAACATTAAAACATTATTTGTCGCATTCAGTACATTATTATGTATTCAGTTTTACGTGACTTAGTGTTGGCTTGAGGGTATTTATTGCCTTTCATTAAATATCGTGCTAATATCGCTGTCGGTCTGTTCTAAAACTTCATATTGTTTCGGTGCAAAGCGTTGATTTTCATTTATTGTGTAATCCTTTTTGAACAGATATAGATATTTTTTGACTGAGATATTAGTCGTGAGTGTAATCCACTATGGTGGCATTTTTTTCGTGTGATTTCTTTATTATCACTAAATAGGAGAAGGAAGAGACACGAATGAAAATGCTACATAAAACACACTAGAAAAAGAAAACAAGAAAGACAACTCGCTAGTGACAAGAAAGTTACATGTCCTGCTAACTTATCAACCTAGCACATGGGTGCCATTTGACTGCGTTTCTGATAAGGGTATACAAAGGCTTTGCACGTCCAAAGGTATTCTTAGACAAAACACTAGTAAACACTCTTTGTGGGGAATTGGTCTAAAAAATAATTTTGGACGCACATGCCTCTCGTTCATATAAGCAATCAACAACAACAACAACAAGAAAAACAACAACAAAAACAAACAAACAGACAACGCACAAATCAAAGGAAGTTCAGCAGTTCATAAGGGTCACGTCTTCGTCTGATAGTGCAGTGAAGTACTACCTTTCGTTACCTGATAAAACGGAAAGCAATTTTGCCCCTTTTATATATAAGCAAAACAGTAATATGAGAATTACTAGTGAGCTTACAGAAACACTTAATATATTCATTCTAAATCCATCATTGGATAAAGAAAAAAATGCAATATATACCAACAAATAAACAGTTACGAAGTGTGATCTACTGTGTGACTTTAGCCACTGCCAACTCCACGCAGAAGGTTACGAGCGACAGAGCCATGCCAGAGGCCCAGATGGCTAGCATTCCCTGGAAGATGAGAAGTTACATTATATTTATGAAGGTGGTTCCGTTAGTGTCGTTATCCAGCAATTATGTGGTTACGTTGTTTTGCAAATATAACAACCGTTATTACTGTCATTCTTAACTTTACTGTTATTATTCAATTATCGTTATTATCAAAATCAGTGTTGTTAGTAATGGTATTCCTTTTTTTATCGACATCATTATCATCATTATTGTCATTTATATCACGCGCACAGACACATCTATATGTATATAACACACTCACCCAGTGTGTATTATGTATATACATGTATTAACCGATATATATTCTCAAACATATGAAGCAGCCTCTTACCAGAGATACAAGAACGTACCGAGACTGCAGTGAAAGAAAGGGGCTCCATCACAGTGATAGTGGACGGTGTGTTTTCGCAAACTGAAGCGTTGACAGTGCTTTGGCTCACCCAGTAGTCGAAGAGGCCGGCGTACACAACTCTACGGATTCTGCACATAACATTTGATTACATCTCCTGGCCTCAAATACTTGACAAACGCGTGGTTGATGTTGGAAATAATATCAGTGTATTTTTTTTTTAACTTGTAAAATAACGGGGCATGTTATAAATTTTGTATGAATAGGACTTCGATATGGATAAGTAAAGAGAGGATATAATGACTAGAGCCATTATGTACAGTGCATACATCTTTCTGGGATTTCTTTAGAACACGTCTTTCTATGTTTTTTCTAGTCTTCTACTAGGCGGAATGACAAATTTGATAAATCTGATAAAGGACTTAACCTCTGGCACAAAGGACAAAAATACTTTTCACTCAGGATGAATCTAACGGAGAAAAAATGAAAACATTTAACTTTAACGCAGTATAGGAAAATATTTCATAGCTGATTCATACATATTATCATTCAATTTTTTTTATCTATTTATTTACTTATTATTATTATTATTATTATTATTATTTATAGTAGTAGCAGTAGTAGTAGTAGTATTTTTAGTATCTTTATTATTATTATTATCACTATTATCATTATTATCATTATTTTTATCATTATTATTATCATTATCATTATTATCATTATCATCATTGTTATCATTAGAAATCACACTGATGTTGACAATAAAAAAACGCAATTTACCTGTAATTAACAGCTTCACGAATAGGAGTTCCCTTCTGCAAGACGATGCTGGTGGGTCCGGGCAAGAACGTCACTCTCGGAAGGTAAAAATCACAGCGACCTGTTAAGATTATAATACTTGTGAACTTCTTGCAACAGGAACAACGAAGGGAAGGGCAAGAAAACACACGAATATGTCAAATTCGTGTGTTTTCTTGTCCTTCCCTTCGTTGTTCCTGTTGTAATCTGTTCATCATGAATTCCACACAATTGTTGACTTCTATATGCCTTATCGCGTGGTGTAAGATTAATCACGCTTTACGTAGCAATGTATGCTTGTAAAGTGATAGAGATTGAATTATTGTTTTTTTTATTATCTTCGGTTTTGTATATGTTTCTTGGTCGCTGACTGGTATTGTTTCTCTTCTCTATTATTTGGATGAAATTGTCTTTTTGATATCCGTGTCTATCCGGTGGTCTCCTTGTCTGTTTGTGTTATTCTTTCTCCAGGTTCTTTCTCACTCTCCCCCTCCCCCCTCTCTCTCTCATTCTCTTTCTCAACTATCTTTCTTTCTTTCTAACTCTCTCTTTCTAACACACACTTTCTCTCTCTTTCTAACTCTCTCTTTCTATATATCTCTCCCTTTCTTTCCAACTCACTCTCTCTCTCTATCTCTCTCCCTTTCTTTCCAACTCACTCTCTCTCTCGCTCTCTTTCTTTCTAACTCTCTCTCTTTCTTTCAAACTCTATCTTTCTTTCTAACTCTCTCTCTCTTTCCCTTCCCCCACTTCTGTCTCTCTCACTCAGTTCATCCGTTCCTTCCTATCCCCCACTTTCTCTATCTCCTTTTTCTTTCGTCAGTCTTATTAAATAACTCTCAATAATAGTTAATGCTCTTACATATTCAGTCATATTACACACAACTATTCATCTGGTTATACACGTTTTTTGTATGCATACATTCATATATACACACATCTAGAATATAAAGGAAAATGAAATACTCAGCTTCTGTGCGTGCGTGTGCTTGTATGAATCTATAAATCTGTGCCCATACTTGTTTTAGTGAAGTTATGTGACACTATATTTTTTAGATAATCATGTCATGAGTACAATATAAAGGGAAGTGATGCATTCAGCTTCCGTACGTGTGTGCACTTGTACGAAACCATAAATCTGTGCACCCATACCTGTTTCAGCGAAGGCTTCCGTAAGTGTGTGCACTTGTACGAATCCATAAATCTGTGCACCCATACTGTGTTAGTGAAGGCTTGCGTAAGCGTGTATGCTTGTACGAATCCATAAATCTGTGCACCCATACCTGTTTCAGTGAAGTAATCAGACACACTTTGTTTCGCAGATATGCCAAGCGTGAACTGGACGTGGTCGCCTTGTCGAGTGAGCTCCATTGATGTGTCTTTGTCACCGTACTCGGAATAAACCCAACGATTTTTCTGTCTCAGATCGGACAGTTCCTTGAATATTCCCGACTCTGCATGCTGTTCGGGGAGAGACGAATAGATATTACATCTATCTTTAAAATATGGAAAGATAATCTATCCGTTAAAAAGAAAAGAAAAAAACACTTTTCGAGGAAATTTGGGTGTATCCATGGGCTGAAATGTATCTTGGTTCTGTCTTCCAAAATAGGTCGTATGAATTCATAGCTATGGTACTTTTATCCGAGCCATCTTCTCTGTCTGTCTGTCTGTCTCTCTCTCTCTCTCTCTTTTTCTCTGTCACTCCCTTTCTTTCTCTCTCTCTGGTGCTAGCTGATAAAATACTGTCCACTCTAGACCCTATTTCATTTAACAATTACACGAAAAGAAATACTCACATCTAACATGTGCGTGAAAGCCGTAAACCGACTTGTAATAACCTTCACATCCGAGTCTATAACATCCCTTAGGCTCTGGATGGGCTGCGGGACGTGTCGAGCCGCCAAAAGGGACACCAGATTGCACGAGTACGACCAGGCCATCACCATGGCGACCAGCATCCAGCTTCCCACCAGCAGCTTCTCAGCTCCGCGGATGAATTTCATGACCATGGCTGCGGTATTGGATGTAAGGGGACGCGTGAGTAAAATGCGCGACCGCGTGTGTGTGTGTATCTATCTATTTATCTCTCTCTCTCTCTAACACACACACACACGTATATGCGCACACGCAAACACACACACACACCTCACCTTGCTGCACGCCGACGCCAAAGTAGACATAGAAGAACCACGCCGCCCACGCCCCTCTCCTCCTGCCACGAGGTCGACTTCCCAACACCATCGTGGCCGCCCACACACACAGCAACGCCCCCACCAACCCCGCCCACACCAAGGGGCTCAGAGGATAGAGGAAGCCCATAGGATTCAACGTCGGATGTCCCTTCCCGGCCAAGATCTTCATGTAGACGTAGGAGAGGATGTCACCGAAGTCCACGACCTCCACGCGCTCCGGGATCATCTTCATGCTCTCGAGGCCGATGTCAGCCACCTGGGGGAGGGGGGAGGGCGGCCGTCTGAACATCTGATAAGGGAACGGCTAAATACGGGTTTCTGGGGCTGACTATTAATCGGATCTGATAAGAGAACGGTTAAATACTGGTTTATGGGGCTGACTTTTAATCGGATCTGATAAGAGAAGAATGAGGGAGGACGGGGATGGAGACAGATAAGAAGAGAAAGAAAGAGAAATTTGCAGTGGTAGAGAGATAGAAATAGAGGATTAATTACTGGTTTCTGGGGCTGACTATTAATCGGATCTGACAAGAGAAGAATGAAGGAGGACGGGGATGGAGGCAAATAGAAGAGAAAGAAAGAAAGGGAAATTTGCAGTGGTAGAGAGATAGAAATAGAGGATTAAATACTGGTTTCTGGGGCTGACTATTAATCGGATCTGACAAGAGAAGAATGAGGGAGGACGGGGATGGAGACAGATAAGAAGAGAAAGAAAGAAAGGGAAATTTGCAGTGGTAGAGAGATAGAAATAGAGGATTAAATATTGGTTTCTGGGGCTGACTATTAATCGGATCTGATAAGGGAACGGTTAAATACTGGTTTATGGGGCTGACTTCCTATCAGCTTTTTTCTTTAAGGTGAATGGGGAAGGTAGATGTGAGGCGGTTTTTTTTAGCGTTTATTAATTTAATACGAGCGGTTAAATATGGGTTTATGGGGATGACTTCCTATCAGCTTTTTCTTGAAGTTGAATGGGGATGGTAGATGTTAAGTGTTTCTAATTAATTTGATATTTTTGTGCGTGACTTCAGTTATGGTGATAATCATGGTCTCCCATAGACGCTACATTCTCTCTCTTTTTCTGTCTGTCTGTCTGTCTGTGTTTCTCTGTCTCTCTCATGCACTCGCTCTCTGGCTATTCCAATGCTCTCCTTCTCTCTCTCCCTTCCCTACTTTCTCTCATATCTCTTTCCCTTCCCGTCCTCCCCCTTCCTACCTATCAAACTTTATCTTTCTCCTCCTCTTCCCCTTTTCTCTCTCTTTCTTACCTTCTCGCTGACTTGACCCACAATGCCAGTCCAAGTTCCGTTTGGCAGCTGCGACCCGATGCCCCGGTCTGGTGGCATTATCAGCGTGTAACTGAAATGTATGGTAAACTTTAAGGCACTTGAAAAATTAAAGTTTGGCCCGATGTTATATATAGTATACATATATATAAATTATACATATATATATATATATATATATATATATATATATATATATATATATATTTATATATGCATATATACAGACACACACACACACACACACACACACACACACACACACACACACACACACACACACACACACACACACACACACACACACACACACACACACACACACACACACACACACACACACATATATATATATATATATATACATATATATATATATATATATATATATATATATACATACATATATCTATCTATCTATCTATCTATCTATCTATCTATCTATCTATCTATCTATCTATCTATCTATCTATCTATCTATCTATCTATCTATCTATATCTATATATATATATATATATATATATATATTATATATATATATATGTGTGTGTGTGTGTGTGTGTGTGTGTGTGTGTGTGGTGTGTGTGTGTGTGTGTGTGTGTGTGTGTGTGTGTGTGTGTGTATATATATATATATAATATATATATATATATATATATATTATATATATATATATATATATTATATACATATATATATATATATATATATATATATATATATATATATATATATATATATATATATATATATATATATATATATTATATATTATCTATTTACTATATATATGTATATATATATATATATATATATATATATATATATATATATATATATATATATAATATATATACATATATATGTATATACATATATATATATATATATATATATATATATATATATATATATATATATATAATATGTATATCTGTGTGTGTGTGTGTGTGTGTGTGTGTGTGTGTGTGTGTGTGTGTGTGTGTGTGTGTGTGTGTGTGTGTGTGTGTGTGTGTGTGTGTCTATATATATATATATATATATATATATATATATATATATATATATATATTATATATATATATATATATATATAAAAAAATGAATAAATGAAAATGAAAGTAAGAGAACTACATTACAGGTCAAGTTTATTCCTGTCATTAAACATATTTCAATGAAGAAATTGAAACAAAAACTACGTAACAAAAATCTATGCTGTCGTAATGAACAAACAATTCTTTCGATCAGACTCCGCGTCACCCCAGTAATCAAGGCTCATAAAGAATATAGATTCATATTCATAACCATCACGTATCATTCACCCCCCCCACCCACTCCCCCCTAATACACTCTCCAAGCTTCATAAAATTCGCAGTAGAGGAATCGGACACCGTGTCTTTAATAAGGACGAAAATAGAGAAAGATATGAATGCGAAGATATTCATTCTCATTCTTACCTCTCTACACTTGTCAGCATGAATACGGTTCAAGGACGAAGTGATAAAGTAATAAGGACGAAATAGAGAAAAAGTATGAATGAGAAGATATCCATTCTCATTCTCACCTCTCTACACTTGCCAGCATGAATACGGTTCAAGGACGAAATAACGAAGGATTTATCATGCTTACGAGAAGTTCATGGAGCTGGCCATATATTCGAGGAGGTTGGCCAGGGGTCCCTCCACCCTCAGACCCCCGGGGCCAGTGGGGTCCTCCAACACATTGGCGTATTTGCCGGACCTGCTGGTGATCACCAACTCCACTGCTTCTGGAAATCTGAATTGGGTTGGGTATGATGTATGTAATTATATATGTAAACACATACACATACGTACATAGACATACGCATTCTATATCCAGTCACACACAGACACACACAGACACACTAATACTAATATTGTCTGGAAATCTGAATTGGGTTGGGTATAATGTATGTAGTTATATATGTAAACACATACATATACTTACATACACATATACACATTATATACAGTCACACACACACACACAGACACACTAATACTAATATTGTCTGGAAATCTGAATTGGAATGGGTATAATGTATGTAATTATATATGTAAACACATACACATACGTACATACACATATACACATTATATACAGTCACACACACACACACAGACACACTAATACTAATATTGTCTGGAAATCTGAATTGGGTTGGGTATAATGCATGTAATTATATATGTAAACACATACACATACGTACATACACATATACACGTTATATATATACAGTCACATACCCACACAGACACACTGATACTAATATTGATGATGATAATGATGATAGTATTAACAATAATGATACTATTACTACTACTAGTATAATAGAAAATAACATTAATAACAATAACAATAATAATTGAAATAACAATCACGACAATAATAACAATGATAGTGAAAATAATGATAATAATTATAATAATAATGTTAATAACAACAACAATGAAATAATAATAATGATAGTGGTAATAGTAATGATAATGACAGTAATGATAATAATGATAGTAATAATAATGATAATAATAATAATAAATAATGATGATGATAATAATGATAGTAATAATAATGATAATAATAATAATAATAATGATGATGATGATAATAATGATGATAATAATAATGATAATAGTAACAATAACAAAAAAAAAATAATCATGATAATAAAAATAACAAAAATGATGATGGTAATAGTGATACTAAAGATAATAATAGATATGATAATACTAATGATGAAAATTATAATAATTTTGATGATAACGACG